ATATGGATTTGAGCAATCTCATGTTGACTACTCTTTGTTCACTCTACAGAGAGATGGTCATACACTTATTCTCCTAGTATATGTTGATGATATTCTGGTTGCATGCTCAAATAAAGAAGAAATCAACAAGATCAAAACTTTTCTACATCATCATTTCAAAATCAAAGACTTGGGTCCAGTCAAGTTCTTCTTGGGTTTGGAAGTTGCTCGTTCTTCTCAAGGGCTTTATCTTTGTCAACGTAAATACACTATGGACTTACTGCATTCTTTCAATTATCAAGATTGCAAATCTGTTTCTTTTCCTATGGATACAAAGACAAGATTGAGTTGCAAAGATGATCACCCCCTTGAAGATCCTTCCATTTATAGATCTCTTATTGGGAAATTGTTATATCTTACCATTACCAGGCCAGATATCACCTTTGCTGTCAACACACTAGCTCAATTCATGCAAACACCTTGTCATTCTCATCTTTCTGTTGCTCATAGAGTACTTCGATATCTCAAAGGATCCATTGGTCAAGGTCTATTATATTCATCTACATCCACATTACAACTCAAAGGTTTTTCTGACTCTGATTGGGCTAGCTGCATTGATATCAGGAGATCTATAACAGGTTATTGCATATTTCTAGGTGACTCCTTAATTTCTTGGAAATCCAAGAAACAACATACAGTTGCTAAAAGTTCTGCGGAGGCAGAATATCGTGCACTTTCTGCTTCTGCTGCTGAGATTCTTAGTCTTCTTCAGCTTTTTAAAGATTTCAAACTTCCTATTTCTAAAGGCACCATCTTCTGTGATAGTAAATCTGCACTTGCTCTTGCTGCCAACCCTGTACATCATGAACGAACAAAACATGTGGAAATTGATTACCATTTCATATGAGAATGGATACAAGATGGAGTCATTCACACCTTATACGTTCCTACTCATCATCAATTAGCCGACATCTTCACTAAACCTTTGGGCAAACAAGCATTTTATTCTCTTGTCCAAGATGAGCGTCCATAATATGTACTCTCCTCTTGAGGGGGTATTGGCAGTCTAAGACAAAGAGCAGAGCACAGGCAGATTATGATCTCACACACAACTGAGTTCCAAGCACAGTTACATGGCAACTCTTTCATGCATACGTAAAGGAATTTACTAGAAGCTCCTAGAACGAATTATTGTTAGCTAGTTTGTTATTTCCGTTTTGTACTAGCTATAAATATATGAATATGCTACTGTACTGGGTGTGAGAATGATTACTCAAGTTAGATCAATGAAGTTCATTTTACTCTTTCTTCTCTCGTTGCTTTTACTTCTTCATCAAGTTTTGCATATTACTCTTTAATGGCGATCAATACTTCCGTATTCTATAACTTCTGCTTTAAAAGAAGCACTTTTTAAAGTGATTTTGGAAAAAATGCTTAATAGTAAAAGTTAGTTCTGTTTTGAGAAAAAAGTGATTTTGAAAAATAAAAGTTAGTAGTATTTGGTAAAATATGTGTTTTTGTGTAATAGAAAAGTAAAAAGCAGATTTCAACTTTTAACTTTTTAGTGTCTTATTCAAGAAAAAATTGTCACTTGCAAGAAACATCAAGTTTAGTTTATCCACAAAAAAAATCGGCTAAAAACTCAATCCGGAAGGTCGTCAAATGATTTTTGGAAGTTAACTGCGTTTTATATGTATTTCTTAGCGCAGTTAACTTCAAAAAATCTTTTGTCGACCTTTCGAATTGAGTTTTTGGCTGAATTTTTGTGTGGATAAACTAGATTTGATGAAGAACATGCCATAAAAATTTAATCAAAAACGCCACCGAGAAGTGTTCCAAAAGCCATCGGCCGGACAGCAGGTCCGGTCAGAAAGGTCTGACCGGAAGACTACTCTTTTTTTTTTACCCCGGAAGGTCAACCACCAAAATCAGTGGGGTAAATGCTGAGGAGCATTTACCGGTGTTTTATTAGAAAGCCGTGACAATACAGAAGAAGTGGGGGACTAGCCCAAAACCACTTCAAAGAGGCATTCCTCTTAGAAAAGAACCACATAAAATATGGCCGGTTAGAATAAACCCCAAACTGATTAAAATATATATGGCATACCCATAGCATCAAGAGCAATAACACCTTTAAGGCTTTGTGGAATACCCCTCCAATTTTGCCAAGAAAAAGTCCCCTCCAGGCCCAAAAGAGCCACTAAGTGCGCTGAGTGATTCACATGGGCTGGCACAACCGAAAAGGTAAGCCCACTTGTCCTACTCCCGTTACTTTCCCCCTGGCTTCTAGAATAAGACGACTCTGCTTCCACATTAGGAAAGCCAAGATACGCCGCCCACTAGATAGCTTGAGCTAGCGCTTCATCTTCAATGTCGCCAGATCTACTCAGAGGATAACCCTCCGCCGCGACCACCTCACCTGCATGGTCTCTAAGTAAAAATCCAGCAGTTGTCTTCCCATTACCTCTAGCAATCGCCCAGTTCAATTTGACGCAGCCCTCATTCAGTTTTCTCCATCGCTCTATACACGGTCGTTTCCTCCCAAACGAAGCAGGTAAGAGCCCAAACTGCTTTAATCTATCATAACCTTTGATATTAATGTTCGCATAGCACCAATCTAACATATATTTACTTATTCTTTGGATCAATCTTTCTCGCGTCTGCACTGAGCCACTATTAGTCTAGTCCCAATATGCTTTCCAAAGGTGCCAAGCGATTACTCCTGGTAAGACCAATGCATAAACCACATCCATAGTTTTTCCAGACCAGCTAATCCACCACTTTAACATCTGTTGCTTGACACAACTTACTTGGTGACTTGTATTCAGAAAAATATTGGAGAAGAAATCCCAACCGACCAAGGTAGCTGACAGGTTAACAAAATATGATCTTGGCTGATACCAGCGTTTCCACAAAACGGACATATCGTTGGATGAATTACACAGAAGAGTTCCAATTTCTCAGGGAAAGGCAGGCAACCCCATTCCATAGCTTCCAGAGAAACACCCGGATCTTAGGTACCTGCTTAGGGTGCCAGATATGGGTTATTGAAAGGCTTCGGCCCACTTGAGGCCACAATGCTTCATATGCTGATTTAGATGTATATTTTCCTTCCTTTGTATGCTTCCATGTGATAGAACTAGGCCCCCTGGTAACCATTTGCTCAGCCTCATCATTTATGAGGCAAATTTTTCTCCAAGTTGGAGAATCCATAGGTTTAATAGCCCCCAGATCCAAGACCGGAACACTACTCTATGTCTATGTGTATATGCTGAATTGTAGATAGAAAAAAGGCCAGAGGAACTGAGGAGCATGCTTGCTTTGACGGAGGAACATGCTAAATTAATTTCCACCTTGACGGAGTATCAAAAGTGTGTTTACGAGACAATAGCGAGTTCTGTAGAGGCCAACCGTGACGGTGTGTTCTTCTTATATGGGCACGACGGTATATGTAAAACATATATGTGGAAGACCTTATCAGCATATATAAGGCATCAAGGAAATATTGTGTTGAACGTAGCTTCAAGTACGATCGCATCATTGCTGCTTCCAGGTGGAAGAACGACACATTCCAGGTCAGTTGTTTTAGTTTATAACTTATAATTCCAAATGAATACTAAGACAATGAATTGTAACTTTCAGGTTTAAAATCCCACTCACAGCAGCGGAAGATTCAACTTGCAACATAAAACCAGGAAGTGCGCTTGCGAAGATGATTCAAATGACAAAATTGATAATTTGGGACGAGGCAACCATGACTAATAAGTAATGCTATGAAGCTTTTGATCAGACTATGCGGGATATTCTTCGACATTCATACGGTTGTGAAGGGAGCAAACCTTTTGGCGGAAAGACAATTGTCTTTGGCGGAGACTTTAGACAGGTTTTACCGGTAATTCCAAAGGGTAGTAGGTAAAATATTGTGCAGGCGACTTTAAACTCATCCTTCATTTGTCCTTTTTGCAAGGTACTGAGGCTAACGAAGAACATGAGAGTGCGAAGTGGATCAGACGATCTTAATTTTGCATACATACAAAGGTTCATTGATTGGATTTTAAAGATAGGGGACGGGGTTCTAGGTGACAATGAGGATGGAGAATCATATATTGACATACCCGAAGAATTCCTCGTGCCTTGGATTTCTGATCCAATTACTTCTATTGTCCAGAGTACATATCCCGATTTTTTAGCACAATGCACATCACCGTCATATTTAATGTCAAGAGCAATACTTGCGCCAACAGTTGACGAGGTGGACAAGATTGATGATTACATGCTCGAACAACTACCATCAGAGATGAAGACATATTTCAGCTCCGATTATGCATCATTATCTGATTCTGATAGTAGTTTATTGCAAGAGATCCATTCTTCAGAATTCCTTAACGGAATCAAATGTTCCGGAGTACATAGCCATGAGCTCAAATTAAAAGTGGATGCCCCTGTGATGCTTATGAGGAATCTTGATCAATCATTGGGTTTGTGTAATGACACTCGACTTTTAGTGACCCGACTTGGAAAGCATGTTATTGAGGCCCAAATGTTGTTAGGGCCAACTGTTGGCCAAAAACATTTCATTCCCCGTCTTACCATGACTCCTTCTGATGTCAGACTGTCATTCACCTTCCAGCGTAGGCAATTCCCTCTTATGGTTAGTTATGCGATGACTATAAATAAGAGTCAGGACTAATCATTGGAAAATGTGGACATATTCTTACGGTGACCGGTTTTCATCCATGGACAGCTTTACGTTGCTGTATCAAGAGTCACGAGCCCAACTGGTTTGAAGTTTTTGATATGTGATGATAATGGTAGACCGACAAACTTCACATTAAATATTGTATACAAAGAGGTCTTTACCAATTTGTAATATTGTATTTCGTCTTGAATAAAATTGAGAACATTATAATTACAAGTCACACGGGAAAATAATATATTGCGCTCATTTAGAAAAATACGTACTAATTGAATTATTGTCAAAACAATTCGGTTTTCATCCCGGGTTAAATAACTAGTTTCCCCGCAAAATGAAAACAATGGTCAATTCCGTCGTTATTTACTTATTTTGTAGCTGAGGCCATTGACCAGAACTTGACCGCTATCATCACCATTATCCGAGCCGGAGACGATGAATCTGCTACCTAGCGGAGGCGGAGGAGCCCCACTTTCCTCTTCCAACCGATGTTCCCTCAAATTCAATCGCCCCGTAGCTCATCTTTTCTCTTCCATTCCCGACCCTGCTTCCAGACCCAAGATTCGCCTCAAGCCCATCACGCTTGCTAGTCCCGAACCGGGAGCGTCTCGCCGCTCTGCTACCTCGGCTGCTCCCAGTTCAACTCCATTCAACGGAGCTGATGAGGATACAATCTCTTTTGTCTCTCAGGATGAGGTTCCGATTGAAGGTGTTATCCAGTACGAGAAACCCGACTCTTCTGCTTCGTTTTCCAGATGGAGGTAATGCCTTCTTCTTCCCCAGATTATCCCCTTTGGTTTCTTGTTTGATTTTTATTACAGAATTCGTAATGCGTGTGGTTTAAATTGGGGGTTTCAGTAAAGTGGCTTTGCTAGCTGGTGGGGATGTGGCGGCTTTGCTGTTGTTCTCCGCAATTGGAAGATTTAGTCATGGTTTTGCGGTTTTTGACTCTGAGACATTGCAAACGGCTGACCCTTTTATTGCTGGTATGCGAATCTTACTGATCTATTGGCTCAGTTTGAACTTGGGAAAACTAAAGAAAAGAAAATGCGAAGGAAAAATGAGATTAAATTGGAATGGTAAAAAAATATGGTGTAAAACATATATATGTTCAGCCTCAATAGCTAAAAAACTCTATTATTATTTGATTATATAAAGACTAAAAAATCTAATTATCATTGAAGGATTTAATGAATTCTTATCCTATTAGGTTTTATTCTAAGACAATCCATACCTAAGAAAACATTTTTTAACTATTTTTTTCTTTCCGTGAGCTAGAACAAGACTTTGCCTTTTCCCCTTTCAACTAAAGCATGTTATGAAATGTGAACGTCAAATTATAAGTTACATCTGTTTCACGTTTAATAGGGTGGTTTTTGAGTGCATACTTTCTTGGGGGATATGGAGAGGATGGCCGAGGAATGAATGGTCGATTCAAAGCTTTTATTGCTGCAGCAAAGTCTTGGTCTTTAGGTATCCCGGTGAGTTCTTATCATTAGTTCAAGATTGAATGGGTGATATTACTTAATTTGTAATTACTATGGAAACCCTTTATGCTTCACCACTGCTTAGATCACTACTAGATATGTTAAATGATTTAAGAAGTGGTAATGTGTACGTTTGAAAGTTGAGGATCTAAAGTAACTAAACTGTAAGTACTTTTGACACTTTTGCATCGAAAGGGATATTTGATATTTTGATGTGGGGTAGAGATAAATTTGTTAAATTTTGGGGAGTTAACCATTCCGATTTGCACTTGACAAATACGGCACTAATTTGACTTGAGGATTTGATGGGAGAATTGAACTAGAATTATAATTAGAATTTGGTTATTTGATTCGCTATTGTAAAGATTTGGAATCCATGACCACCCCCATGGGGAGCTGGGGAGGTAGGCTTGACTAGCTACGCATTCTTTTTTATTATTAGTTCTGTCATGGGGAAGTAGGCTTTACTAACAAAGCATTCTTTTTTACTTCAGATTCTTTCTGTCATCGCATAAGTGATCCTACTAGTTTGGACGATTTTTATGTGCATAGTACATTTTACTTGTAAAAGAAAATATAAGCACAAGCAATATCTTTTCTTATTCTTCTTCTTTTTCTACATTTTTCTTTAACACCTTCATCGCTCTAATTCACCTTAATCATGTCTACTGCTTCGTTATCTGAAGACATGACATTGCTCTCTTTTAAGAGAAATGGTGTAAATCCTTATGGTCTCTAAATTCAAATCCACCCTTAATTGGGCAAATATATCTCTATAGTTTTTTCAAGATTCACACTTTTCCTTATAGGACTTGACAAAGCAAATGTAACTAGTAAATGATGTAATATATTGAGTGAGAAAATGCTAAATAAAACATGCTTTCTCTAAATTCAAATCCACCATACATTACTATGGTATATTCACCCTTAGTTCGAAAAGCCATAGTAAATGATGTAATATATTGAGTGCGAAAATGACAGAGCAAATGTAATATACATTTTTTCTAAATGCTTTTTTCCTATTTTTAATTTCTAAACTAGTATATACTATTTTACACTCCCCCTGTCCTATGATTTTCTTCGCAATTTCCTTTTTGGGATGTAACAAATTTTTCTTCCATTTTCTTTTTAATGAATGGTTTGTGTGGTTAACATTCTTACTCCTACAATCTACATCAACCAAAACCATACACTTTCACTTTATAAGTGTGTAAATTCAAAGTGAGAAGAAAATTTTGGGACGGAGGTAGTATTTTATACCTAAGTAAATTTTATGGTCCGCCTGACCAATACTCTTATGGACATGTTCTCTTAAACAAATGTCAGGCACCACCAATGCCCCAACCTTTGTTGTCTCTCCATGGATAACCTCGCAATATGTTCATAATTTCTTTTATTTATCAATCTGATCATAGAAGAGTCAACCTTGCTAGGATGTGTACCACTTCAAAAAGCTGCCAGTTGGCTTTCTTACCCATGAATAATTGGATTCTGAAGACTTATTATCATAGGATTTTCTTTTATGGGAAATTAGATGGTGATGTGTTGTAATAATGGTTATAGTCATATGGTGTATATCTTACAGTTTTCATATTGTAAAGTCAGTATGCACACCTTGGAACATAACCAATGTGACTTCACAGTTTCATGTCACTAATGTACATCACAGCTGATACTAGCTGGAATTTAAGTACTTTTATAATTAGCTGATGGAACTCATTTTGTGTTGTACTGCAGTTGGGTGTAATCATAAGGGCTTTAACTGTTGGTCACATACCACCAGTTAACTTTATAGCAGTCACCATGGGAAGCACTGCTGTATTACTTATTGGATGGAGAGCACTGTTATTAAGCATTCTTTCTGATGACCAGAAGAAGACCAATGATGTATATAAGCGTGGTAGTCCATTTGAGCTTTTTGAGGTAATTGTTTTCTTTGTAGTGGTTTCTTCTTTTATAAGAGGGATTTTTTTGGGTTTTTTTGCGCTTAGTTAAATAAGTTCTATTAATGCGCTTAGAGTTAAATAAGTCACTCTAGGCACATAAATTGTGTTGGACACAACTATTTGGTTTGGCATCATTAAAGTTAGACTAAAATCCTGCAGAGTATTAGCCTGATTAGGATTAGGGGGCGTTTGGTTCTCTAGACTCTTAGATGCTATTTGGTTTATGAAACTAGTTGAATGGTTTGGCACACACCGGTTAAATTTTAAACAGTAATCTGATGTATGACTTTTAACTACTACTTCTGTCAAGTGGACATTATAAGATGAAACAAGTCTAAGCATTGGTGAGGAGAGTGTTTGGGTTGTAGGGAATGGTAGAAATGCAAGGAGAAAGAAGGGGAACAGCAATCTTTTTTGTTTCCTATGTAGTTAATGGGGTGTTAGTTTAATGAGTGGATATGCTCTATCTCAATCTTCTCCTTCCCGTCGAATAAATTGGGAGCGAATGGAAGGAGAAGAGAGTGCAACCTTCTCAAATTTATAATTTTGTTTATAATATGCTCTGTACTACTACTACTACTACTCTCCTTCTATTTGCTTCAGAACCGGAACAACAGAACATCATAGTTAGGAGTGGACTCGGGCCAGGCCAACCGGCCCGGAACCGGACCGGCTCGCTACTGTGCGGGCCCGGACCGGCCCGGTGGGATGGCGGTTCAGGCTCGGGCCCTTCAAAAGGTGAACCGGCCCGGCCAGTTCGGGCTCGGGCCGGGCCAATTTATTATTATTTTTTTTGAATTTTTTTTAAGTTTTTGGGTTGGGCTGGGTATTTTGGGCCATTTGAGGTGGTTAGGGTTGGTTTGGGGGTGAGGGGGAGGGTTGGGGGTTAACTAGAAAAAGCCAAAAAAAAAAAATTAGAACCAAGGCCCGGCCCGGACCCGGGGGTTACCCGGGCCGGTTCCGGGCCTCCCCCTTCATGAACCGAGGCCCGGCCGGGCCCGAACCGAGCCCGAACCGGAACCGGTCCACCCCTAATCATAGTCCTTTATAATTTTCTACATTACTTTCATTTTGTAAATTTATCCAATCCAATAGAGTTCAATATCTTCCTCTCTCTGCCCTTACATTTCTAACCTCCCTCTTCCTCAATCCAAACACACTGTTAGTACGGTCCATTTGGACAAAAGAAAATGCTAGGGAAAACAAGGGAGGACAATGGTGAAGTAATAGGGAGGGAAAGAAAATGTGGATGAAAGAAAAATTGCTTCAAACTAAAAAAAAAATCAGATTTTTATGCCTGCTTTTCAACTTGTTTAATTTCAGTATTTAAATCATTTGAATATTAAGAAACGCACAAATATTAAGTATTTCAAACAGAGCATTCGAGCCGCCACTCTAACTAATCCGGCACAGGATCATAAACTAGAAAGAAAAGATTCTGAAAACGATTCAACCGCCTAGGTTTGATCATGCTACTCACAGTTGCGATCAACACTAACATTATCTTTGGAATTTGGATTTGCAGTTACTCATATCCCTTGTTAGAAGATGGTAAATGATGAGCTAGGCAGTGCAGCAATGGCATTCTTGTCTGATGTATATTTTGCTGCAATCTCAAGTTGTACTCCTTCCATATCACCAAGTTGGGGCCAACAGAATCTAACAGTATTCAAGTAATTCAACCAAATCTGGGGAGCATCAACAATATTTCGAAGAACATGTGTCACTGTAATTGTTTGGCGGATATATACTTTCCAGAGTAAATTAATTATTTTGGAAATAAAAAGTTGATAAAAAGGGCAGAAAAACATTGACAATGCATTATACTACTTTTCTTTGGTTTTGGAGCTAACTAGGGTTTCTGTCTGGTTCATGAGGTTTAAATAGTACTCCGTAATAATATTGAAACTAGTCGTTATAAAAATTAGTATAAGTAATTAAATACTTAAGTATTTTGTAACTATTACGTAGTATAAGAATAATATTGAAAGTTTGAAGATGATACAAAAGTTCATGAGGTTTAATTAGTATGATGAAAGATTGATACATAAGTTCGAAGATAAAATAGCATCCAAAAAAAAGTTCGAAGATAAAATAGCATTCAAAAAAAAGTTCGAAGATAAAATGGCATTCAAAAAACAAGTTCGAAGATAAATTAGCAAAACGGTGCATTTTGTTTGTAAATTTTTTATAAAAAGGTGCATTTTTTCTTTGATAATATAAAAAGATGCCAATTTGCAAAATGTAAAGCCACAATTGTTTAGCGGTAAGATGCCTCGTTTGGAGTTTTGGCATATTTCGTTTCATCTAAAAAATATGATCTTACAACTGTAAAAAAATGACCTAAATAGGATTAAAATATTGTCTAAATTCCTAATTAGAATTATAAGTTTATTATTCCCTAAATAGGATTCCGAATTATAATTTTGCACCTCATTTAGTTAAATCGCGGACCCAGAAGAAGTCGGCTCTTCTCTCCAATCGATCGCAACATACGATTCCTCTACCTTGATCGAGCTCCATCAATTTCTCCGGTAAAGCCAGTTAGGTCCTCTTCTTCCTTTTTTTTTTGAAAAGAAAGTTGATCGAGGAAAAAGAAGAAAGAAGAACAGCAAACAAAGAAGAGAAAGAAAAGAAAAAGGACAATGAAAGGAAAAAACAACTAGCCCAATCCGAAGTACAATATGAGGTCCCTGTTTAGATAACCTTGATATTTCATCATGAAATCAAAACTCCATTCGTGTTTGAGACATAGTCCTCAAAAGATGCGACCACTTCTTCTATTTTCTGTACATTTTAATTTGAGTATCCAGGTTCTCTGAAGGTAGATAATTTTGTCTCGTGACCAACAAAGCTCGATTACATATGTCCTCATTCGTATAAGGATCTCATATATCCTCTGTTGATGACATAGGAATCCTCTTCTCACTTTTCGAAGCATGATCAAGAAAATCATCTCCTGAATGTGTACAAAACTGCTTACCAAAAAAACCTTCACAATTAAAAGCATCACCGTACTGGTTACCTGAGAAAATGTCCCTCGAAAAATTGACGTTTGGGTGTGCACACTTAGTAGCTTTTTCTTCAATAGCAGGTTTGTTATTCAAATTGTCTCGGTTATCGAAAGAAGAAGCAACGATTCTTTCGAATTCTTTGATTAAAAATTGAGAAACAGATTCTAAATTTATAATGTGTACGAATGAAGAGTCAAATCCTGGTACAAGCTCAGAACTATAAACCTAGGTAGTATTCAAAGCCAGATGCCTCCTCCTCAAGATGAAGAGTTAGATTTCAACAAAGAAGAACTAATTAGATTTTTAACTTTTATTAATATTGAAGAAACTAAGTGGTTGGAGAAAAGGCACGTGAGATTAATCCTACAGGTTATAAGTTGTGGTATTTGGGGAAAGAGAGGAACTGAAATGGAGTGGGGATTATGGTGGCACATGATTATGTTGAGGGTGTGGTGGAAGTCTTTAGAAAGAACGGCCGCATCATGAACATTAAGTTGATAATAGGAGATGAAATTGTGTTTGTGGTAAGTCCCTATGCACCCCAAGTGGGATTAGATGCAGCTATCACTCTACAATATTGGGAGGATCTTGAAGAAGTGGTGCGACGAATGACAAAGGGAGATAAGCTGGTCATATGAGGCGACCTCAACGAGCATGTGAGTCCAAGTCGTGATGGTTTTGAGAGTATCCATGGCGGATGTGGTTTTGGCACTACAAATGAAGCGTGGAAGAACAATCTGGATTTTGCCTTGACATATGAGTTGGCTGTGATAAACACTTGGTTCAAAAAAAAAGAGACACTCACCTTGTGATCTATAGAAGTGGAGCTAATAATACCGAAATTGACTACTTTTTAGTACACACGACTTGGAGAACTAGCTACACTGATTGTAAGGTTATACATGGTCAGAATGCTGTCACTCAACATAGGATGCGTGTGCTTGACTTTCAAGGTAAAAAGAGAAGGCGGGTTAAGGTACAAGGGGAGCCAAAGCTAAAGAGGAAAAGACTCGAGGGGAATCTCCAACAAAGTTTTTCACACAAAATATTGAAGGAAGATGTATGGTCTATTGATAATGACACACATGTGGATGATGTGTGGTTATCAATGGAGTCCACCATTAACAAAGTGGCGAAGGAGATACTCGAAGAATCTAAAGGATGTCTATCACAAAAAATGAACACCTCTTGGTGGAATGATGAGGTGAAACAAGCAATAAGGACCAAAAGGGATTGCTATAAGAAGTTAGGCAAAAGTTGGAGTGACGATAATTTAGAGGAGTACAAGGAGGCTAGAAGAAGAGCAAAGAAAGTTGTAATTGAGGCAAGAGAAAAAGTGAATAAGGAATTGTATGTAAAATTAGACTCTAAGGAAGGAGAGAAAGATATTTATAGACGTGCTCGCCTTTCTGACCATAGTACTCAAGATATCGTAAAATTTAAGTGCGTGAAAGATGTCGATCAAAGGGTACTAATGGAGGATGAGGAAATAAAAGAGAGGTGGAGGTCATACTTTGATACCTTGTTCAACGGGAATAAAGTGCAAGGTATTGATGATGTTACTATACCGGAGTGTATGGTAAATCGTGATTTTGTGAGAAGGATCCAAACAACAGAATTTAAAGAGGCTATGAGAAAGATGGGGCGGAAGAAATCAGTGGGTCCATATGGCATACCGATCGAGGCTTGGAGAAGTTTGGGAGAGAAAGACATTGAGTGGCTAACACGTTTGTTGAACATGATTTGGAGAAACAATAAAATGTCAGTGAGATGGCGGAAGAGTACTCTCATTCCCCTATTTAAAAATAAAAGTGATATACAAGAATGTGCCAACTATCGAGGGATTAAGCGAGTCACACCATGAAACTTTCGGAGCTAGTGGTTGATCAAAGACTTCAAAAAAGTGTGAAAATTTCGGAGAATCAGTTTGGTTTTATGCATGGACGCTCAACAACTTAGGTCATTCACCTTCTTAGACAAGTTGTTGAGAAGTATAAAGACACTAAAAAGGATTTGTATTTTGTGTTCATTGTTAGAAAAGGCATAGATAGGGTACCTCGAGAATTCCTTTGGTGGGCTTTAACTAGAAAAGGTATATCACGTAAGTATATAAGTATCATCATGAATATGTATGAGGCTTGTACTACACGTGTCCGTACTAGTGTAGGGAGGACCGTAGAGTTCCCTATTACTATCGGAGTGCACCAAGGATCAGCTTTGAGTCCTTTCTTATTTGTTATAGTCATGGATGAACTTACAAATTCGATTCAAGAAGATGTACCGTGGTGCATGATGTTTGCCGATGACATTGTATTGATTGATCAGACGCAAGCGGGTGTTCAATCAAAGTTTGAAGTATGGCGACAAACATCGGAGATCAAGGGTTTCAGACTGAGCCGAAGCAAGAGTGAGTACATGGAGTGCAAGTTTGGTGGAGGTAGAAGTAGTAGCAACAGTGAGATTACTCTTGATAGTAAGGAGATACCGGTGTGTGATATGTTTCGTTAATTGGGCTCCATAATTCACAAGGATGGGTAATTAGATGGAGATATATCTCGTAGAAATCAGAGCTGGATGGATGAAATGGAAGAGCGCATCAGGATTTTTATGCGATCGAGGTATGCTAACTACACTGAAAGGTAAATTTTTTTGAACAACAATTAGTCGTGCATTAATGTATAGCGTAGAATGTTAGGCGGTGAAAGAATGTCACATTCAAAATGTGAGTGTGACATAGATGCATATTTTAACTTATTATTTTGTGACTTTGTATTATTGTGTGTTATTATTTTTAGTTTAGTTAATCTATTTAATTATTAATTGAATTTTTCAGCACAAAATAAAATAATCTTTATTCATTATAAATTTATAATGTTTAAAGATAGAATTAAAGATTAGAGAATGATTTCTTTATTATACAATTATATATTAGAGAATGATTTATTTATTGAGTGGTCATGTAGGAAAGAATTAAAAACTTCAATTTAATTTTAAAATTGGGAATACATATTAGTTTTATGTACACCAATTTTTTTTCTTATTAGTTTTATAATTTTATAGAAGTATTCATACCAATATTGAAAATGTTTTTTAGAATGGATGATGAACATATTGTCTAGAAAGGGAAGATGTTAATTTCGTCATTTTTTTCTCATAGTGGATCGTCAAAGTGGTGAAGGGAGTTCTGAACCTATACCTATCGTCATAGTGCAAGATCTCCGACATGAAATTCCTCCACAAGACCATGCCCTTGAAAGCCAAACTATTTCAAATTTGGACTTCCCTCTATCTTTTTTCCATTGAGAGAGATCTAAGAAAAAGAATCTAAATTCATGAATATCCTCTCAATCTACGAGACGAAGTGAAACGTGCATATATAGCTGTTGGGTTTATCAAGCGAAAATAGAAGCTTATCCAGCTACAAAGTTTGGGATGCAAAACCTAAGTTTTCAGAAGCAATGGTTTGACAAATTTAATTGGTAAGAGTGCTCACCTTTGACTAATAAGTTGACTCTTCTTGTTGCCTCCTTTTGTTGAGTGACATTCATATGCATACTACCTCTGCATTAGTTAAGAAAAGATTGGAAATTGGAAGAGGATAAATCAAGAAAATAGATGTGCCCTTTTCCTGCACATTGGTTCTACAGAATCATCATCTCATATTATGTGTCTTAGAAGAGTTGAAAATTTGAGGTAACCGTCTGACCATATTAACAATGTTTTGCACGCACAATTGCAACAAGAAAAGGAGAAAAATCATTTACAATTTTGAGAACTTCTATTAAAAATGTTTGATGGTTAGCACTTCAAGGTTGCGTCTTTAGAGGTTATGATGAATCTCTAACATCATGAAATCAAGAAAACTTTATTGAATTGGTGAAAACTTTTGCAAGTTATGTCAATA